TAGAAGATATTTCTAGAAACGAGATATATATATCTGATATCTGTAATCTGTAATGTATGAAACCATTTTGATATATGACATACATATATTATTAACAACCCTATGAATACTTGTATTAGACAAACTTTTTATATAGAAACTTTTTGTATACACTTTTTTTTATTACTCTTATTGTTATTTGAGAACTTAGTTTAGTCCAAATCTGTAACTGAAGGCGAGAATTAATGATGATGTTGATGTTGATAATGATGATGTTGATGATGAGGAAACCAAATATGAAAATGAAATTGAAAATCTGCGACATAAAGAAACAAATGCTAAAACATCTAAAGGAAATCTAAAAATATAAACAACTTATGTGCAATACTATCTCATAAACAACAATTCAAACGTATTATACGCAACTATATATATATGTATATACATATATATATGTATATATGATGATATGTGCAATCGTATAACCGAAGTAGTTAAATATTAACGATCCCAAAGCTAGAACAGTACTTCTACTGCAGCTATTGGTTTGTCTGCGCTCTTTTGTACAATACTTACTTACATACATGTTCTTAAGAAGTACTCTCTCTCCCTTAAACGGTATCCTAGACGCGAAATCAAATGGAATATCTAGACTAAGTGCAATACTTGTGGATAATTATCAAAAATGAAAATGAGGGGAAAACAGGCAAACTTATTTTGTAATTTATACGAGTTGTTGAACGGAACGGAACGGAAAGGAGAAGAGAATAGGAGAATCAATATGAAATACGATATTTTTTCTATACTACCAACAAAAATTACTACGAAACTAAATAATTCAAAATTCGAGACAAACCAAGAACCCAGAAGGTTGGACGGATGGAAGGAAGAAAAGCCAAGCTGCTTTGGACTTTTAAACGTGCATATTCGCATATGTGTATCTGATATAGCTGATATATACACATACATATATATATTATTATATGATAGTCAAATCTATTAGCAAATTTTTGCTCGCGCTTTCTTTACAAAACAAAAAAACCAACAAAAATGAAAACCAAATAAAATTCAAGTCATGCAAAAGTTGTAACTCAAGTTGAAGGCGTGATAAGCGTCGGCGGCACTTTGAAAAGGAAAACTAAAACAACAACAAATTAATAGCAATTTTTCTAGAATTTTTATATTAAAATTAAACTACGACGTATGTATATATCATATATAATATATATACTATATATGTATATATTTTTTAAACTACATAATTAGAGGACTTGAGCGTTCGTTTGTTTTAATTTGTATTTTTTGTAATAACTACCAAAAAATATTGTGTATTAAAAAAGCAAAAGAATCTACACCAAAAAAGAAAAAACACAAAAAAAAAAGAAATCGAAGGTAAACCAATTAAATATTATCAAATACGAGTATAACAGCAGGCGCCTGCTCTATGTAGTGTAATACATTTTGTGCAAATATTTAAACAAATGCGTTGTTCTAAAACTTTCAAAGTAATGAAATGCTAGTCTCTAAAAAGGCAAAATCTGTTACAAAGCGGAAGCGGATACTGAAACGGTTACGGTAATCGGTAAAGAAACAAAAAACAAAAACTGCGTGTAATGATGATGTTTTTTAAATGTAGTCAAATTCAATATTTTATAGATTTTTATACTTTTATATAAACATATACCTTCTACTTTAACTGTTTAAAATGTTACAAAAAACGAAAGAAACCAAAAACCGATTTAAAGCTATAACTTATCATACAAATATTTTACTGTATACCAAAACGAAAGTTGATATAGAGATACAGCGGAGAGAGAGAGAGAGGAACCCCGCTCAATGTTTTTCGCTGCTAATGGGAATGGATATCTGGAATCTGAAATCTTGTATAGCGTGCTATACTACATACATATATAGAGTTAAGAATCGGTTCAGTGTTGTTTTGTATTGGGTTTCAGCTTTGATCTGCTGATCTGTTGATCTGTTGATCTGTTCCCTCGAGCGAATTCCAAGAAGCGCAGATGATTAGTCAAAGACATTTAGTTTATCCCATTTCCGAGCTTTTAGTTCGATAGAGAATCTTGTTATAGATCAATGTTTATGTTGTTTTTTATATGGATCCTAGTGTTATGCCATCATATATGGCATCCTATATACGAGTATATAAATATTTTTTATGCCTAATTCTTAATATATATTTTTGTATGTTTTGTAGTTGCTAGTAGAGTTTCCTGGTAGATTTAACGTTGAGACATTTTTATACTTTGTTTAACTCTTTTTTATACATATACATATTATGAATAAAGTATAACAAAAAAAAAAAACAAAAAATAAAATAAAACAATATTTGATATATACAATTTATACAAAAAAATAGGACAAAAAAAAAACAAGAAAAAAATAACGTTTTTGCAATTAATAAACAGACATAACGTAAATTGTGTTTTATTTATTTTTATATATATATCTTGTATGGACTTTTTTGATATAAAAATGTAAATAAAATACTTTTAACTTAGCTGAACCACAAAATATATAAAACCAAAAATTTAAAAAACTGTTAGTAAATATATGGAAATACTTAAACGATACGAAAGACTCTGAAAAAGAAAAGTATTGAATTCGAACTTATTAAAAACTTAAAAACGTTTACTGAACATCTAAACAACAACAACAAATTGGTCAATATGTGTTTTTTATACGAAAAATACCAAACTTAAAATAAAAAAAAAAACTAAAAACTAATAATTATATGAAATTTACATGTAGTACAATTGATGAAATTTAAGAAACGTAAGCAGTAAATATTTTTGAAAGAAAAATAAAATGAAAACTTAAGAAAATGCTTCATATAAACGCTAAAAATAACTAAATAAAATATAGAGAACACACAAACACTTGATAGATCCAGCCCTGCGTAGTGCATTATCCAATCCTAAGCCGCATTTGAGGAAACTCTTCGAAAGAAAGATGGAAATACTCTTCATTTCGGATTTATTGACGTACGATCGTTTGATTGTGATCAGAGAAGAAAAAAAATAGAGAGAGAGAGCGATAAATTGGATTATTTTTTGAGTATTTTCGTAGCACAATTTTTGTACAGTGTATGGTTTGTAGTTAGCCAAACAAAGAATGTAACCCAATCGCGTTTTAAATAGTAAATTTTTTAGCATCAGCCCCCGCCCGAGTTCCCCTTAAAAGAGAAATGAATTCGATTTCCACTTTACGCTAATTGGATTAAAGCTTAGGTCGCAGTAAAAAATAGTATAAACAAAAAACAAATAGCAAAAGACAAGGTTATTTAAGAATATTAAACACACACAACATTTGGTACCTTTTAAACATAATTAAAGAATTTTATGAATCATTAAATTGAGAAATTGTAGCCTGTAAAGCGGGTGTCGTGTCGGTGTCGTATCGGCATCCGTACTTCCATTTTAATTTATCTTTTTCGCCTGTGCCGCGGAATGGCAAACGCGATAATACATACGAACGTATATTGTATAGATCTATGTACATGTACAATATTTAAGGTTTAGTACTTCAAATAAACTGAAATTGAGCGCCCTTACTAATGAATTCCTTTTAGCAAAATATTCAGAAAAGAAACATAAAATGAATCCAAGCAAAGGCATATAATTTTTTAGCATTATACAAGTAAAAAAAAACTACAAAATCCGAAAAAAAAAACCATATACATACATACATAAATAGTAAACGGAAAACAAAAACAAGTTGGCAGATATGAAAACTATATAGTAAATCAAATATATATATAGACACGTAATCTGTATGACGCGTATGAAAAGAAAACCAGAAACTAGCGAAATATTCCATATTTTATAGTCATTTTCAATAAACGTAATTTTTTAATTTTTACAAAATTAAAGTTGAAAAAAAATTAAGAGGGAAACAAAAAACATTTGTAGTTTTCTAACGACACAACAAAAGTGCGGATTAAAGTGGAGAAATCCTATAAAGCATTTCGATTTCCATGTGTGTTTTTGCTCCAGACGTTTTTAAATTTAAATAACAGAAAATGTGTTGAGAGAAATGTTATAAACCCCCATTCCTCCCCCCACATAACAGACGATAGATAACACATACATATGTACTAACGTAAAATAAATAGAGGGAAAAATCAATGAACGAATTACCAAAATGAATATATATATATATTATACACATATGCAAGAAGCTCTCTCCCAGGCCCCCCTCATTAAGAAAATCTCTACAGAAAAATCGAAACTGTAATAGAAAACTATAATATCAGCAGTACTTCAATGCAAATACTTAAAAAAACAGAAAAAATTTAAAATAATGAAACGCAAAAACCAAATATGAAATAATTTAATTACAAGAAGTACGAGTGCGTAAAACCGTTATGAAGGAAATATACATATACGATTATACTATATACAAAGAATATATTCAATGCAAAATCATTTTCTAAAGCGCCCTCCCCGACACACACAGAATGAGCATCCAACAATCGGCGTTTGTACTCAAATAAAATAGATATGAAAAAAACCTACACTCCGACACCCACACACCCCCTGATAATGAGGATATGATGAGGTTATGGAACAAGTAAAATAAAACCAACAACAAAATGGCAAACAAACATATATCTTCATTCGAATAAATAAAAAAAAAAACAAATACTTTTTCTGGAATAATAAAACATGCAAGATCTTTTAATTAGGGAGTAGCAGGGAGAATATGCGATGCTGGATGGGTTCCTTGGTCTTTCGGCAACATGGGATTTACATTTTTAATCACCTGCAACGTGAAAGCAATATGAAGAGACGACTGTTTTGTGGTGGATTTATGCTTGACTCTAGTACGGGTCTCAATCTCACGTAGATAATAATAAACTTTCAATCCTCCCTTATCCTTAGCATACTTTTCAGGGCCACTGTTTGTTACCTTCTCAAGAGCCACTCCCACACCCCAAACATTATTTGAATAGTAGATGACATCTAATCAAACTGTTTACAAATAAAATAAATTTCAAATTTCAGATCTGGCAGCATTGAAGGCGTCTCACCCTCCTCCAGTGGCCCCAATCTGATAGCCGCTCTAACCGCAGCCGGCATCAACAGTGGAGGCGGGGGATCGGCAGTGGACACCAGCGGTGGAGTGGGCACCTGGAAGCTGATCAAGGGCAAGGTCACACAAACCCTTGAGGAGATAAAGTCGTCCAAGCAGCCGTCACACCATTCAACAGCCGCGATACCAATCATTGTGGCCGACCCACCGTCCATTGGCTGGAGCCCTACCGAGCCCGACTCGGACACCGAGTGCATCCCATCTATCAGCGAAGATCTGCCGCTGGACCCGGATCATAAGCAGCACCATCAACAGAACTCCGATTCGGATGCGGAGGCCGAGCAGTTGCAGCACGACAGCAGCAGCCTGGGCAGCGGCGACGTTGGTGCTGCCGCAGCCGTACCCGTAGCGGGTGCAGAACGTTCCCGCCTGCGGCGTGGCCTGGCCCACATCAAGTCCAAGGTGAAGGCAAAGCATCAGGCTGCAGCCATGAGCAAGAAGGACATCATCCCCACCCCCATTGCGACGTCCGGCTCGTTGCGCAGCGGCTTTCTGCGCAGGCGCAACGTAGTCGAGGCGGGCAGCGAGCCATCGACCAGCCAGCAAGCAGCCGAGGCCAAAAAGACTGCCTCGGAATCGGCCACGGAGATTCCCATCGCCAGTGGCAAGGTGAAGAAACGGGGAATCCTGCTGGCTCGCAAGGATGTGGAGATTGAGTCTGGAGTCGAGGTTCTGGAGGATTTGATACCCATTGCGATCAAAGCAGCGGGTTCGCCAGAGCAGGGGCCTACTGATGACAGGGATGGCGGAAGGGATGGGGCTGAGCCCCGTGCAAGTTTGACCCTACCTTTTGCTGCTCCTGAACCCACAGTGTCCTTTGATAGGCCGCAATCAACGTCGCGGCTCAGCTTCTTCTCCAGAGGAAGCTTCATCAGCGTCAGCGGGTGGCGTAGCCATCGCGGAACAGTCGCCTCCATTGCCACACCCATTGTGCTGGGGGCCTCTCTGGTGGTGCTGATGATCCTGCCGATGCAGGACTTCCTGCGTGGCGTATTCGCCACCATACTGTTCATCGCTCTGATGGACTCCTGCGGCAAACACCTGCGCCGGCTCTTCGAACACCTTATGCTCTCCACGCACCCGGAAAGGGTGATGTTCAGGATACCCAACTACGAGGACATGCCCATTTGCGAGATCCCCTCTGCGGAGGAGCACAAGACGATCAAGACCTACTCGGGCTGGATGAACGAGATAGACAGCTACGACCCGCAAACCTTCTCCTTCCACTTGACGCGGTCCATCTATGTGCGGCTGGATGGCTGCATCCTGAAGATGTCCGGCACCCAAGCGAGGATACCCAAGCGCAGTATGTGGAACGAGCAGCCCATCGATCGCAAAAAGGTCCTCTTCACCGATCATCGCTCCTACGATCTGAGGGACTGCCGCATTGAGCTGCTTCCCCTGGGCCTGGCCAAGAAGCGGTGAGTAGTTAACCCTTCGAAAGGACGAAACCTCCCTTCAACACGCTTATTGCATTTTCTTCTGTTGCAGCTACTTCAATCGCAAGTATCCCATCCAGCTGATCATCAAGAACCTCTGTGATTCACACACGCCTCGTCTCTCAACTGAATCTCTGTCGGAGACAACGCTCAAGCTGGAGTCCAAGGAGGCACGCACATCACTAACAATTGCCCCTGACTCGACGCCACCCCACGAGGATCAGGATAAACAGGATTTCGCAGCAACTGTGATGCAAGCAGACGTGAGGGTCAATCTATTTAACTCGAGCTGTAAGGATTGCAGATCTAACTTCTCGTTACTCCCTGCAGCTGCAGCAACTACGGAATAATGTCAATCCGGACACGGAGCTAAACGACATCACTGTGCCCTGTGGCGATGAGGTTCGCCTGCTGCTCTTCACGCGTTGTGACCGGGAGAAGGAGGACTGGTATCGCCGCTTCCAGGCCGCCAGCAAGGGGCGCGTCCATGAGCAGGATCTGCAGGTGCCCATGGCACGTTTTGTGGAGGACACCGATCTGCAGATGGCTGCCGCCAGGCAGGCAGTGCGCATGGTCAGTGCGATGGGTGGACTCAAAGTGTGTAAGGAGCTACTTCGATCCCTCAGTCGTTTATATATACTCTGCACTACCCATAGGTGCGCCCAAAGGATAATCTGAGCGATGATCGGAGCGTGGGCGATGTGTCGTTTGCCTCAAATGCGATCGACGATCAGCAGACCCCCGAAGTAGAGTTCGAGGAGATAACTGTGGAGGATTTACTTCCCGACACGCCGAAGGAGGAGCCCTTCGAGGGAATGATCATGAACTCCGATGTGGCTAGGAATCCTGCGGACTATGTTCGTTTCATGACCGTCTACCAGGTGCGGCTCCCTCTCTCCCTTCAGTTCTTCTGTTGTAGTTTTCTTTCTCTTTTGGTTTTTATGATTTGCATTTTTATGTAGAAAGCTTGCCGTCAAACCCAGATCCCAGTGACCAAAAGTGCGCGCCTCGAGTATGGTTCTGAAAAAAAGAAAGTATGTTTTTTTTTATGGTTTAATTTTCTTTCAATTTACAATTGAATATGCGAAGAACTTTGGAGACTAAATAATGAACGATATTTCTACACAGAATCGCCGCGCCAAGCGACAGGAAGATGAGCTATGGAAGGGCGTTGACCAGTCCCTGTTTCTGGGCCCCTCCGGTAGCATTGTCTGGGCCAATGTCCTCCTGGGGCGCTGTCTCTTCAGCATGCTGCATGATGCGTCGCTCCAAGAGAGGATAAAGGACTTTATGCAGAAGAAGCTCAACTCCATTAAGGTCAGTGTAATAAGTCAGAAAATCAATTTTAGAATTGATGGTTATGATTTCTCCCCACAGTTGCCCAGCTTCATGGAGGAGGTGATCATAACAAACATTTATATGGGCGACTCGCCCATGCTGTGCCATCGGGTATCCCAGCCTATGCTGGACGAGCGCGGTGTGTGGGTGGATGCAGACCTCACCTACGAAGGACTGGCCCATATCACAGTGACCACCAAACTCAATTTGCTGCGAATCCGCGCCAAGACCAAGGCCTCACCAATGGGAGCCGAAAGCGGTCCCAGCGCGGCGTCGACAGATCTACCTCAGGATCGGCGCAATCTGGGTGACGATGACACAATAGACAGCAGGAGTGCCATCTACGACAGCGATGGCGAGAGCACGGGTGGCTCGTCCACCGAAAGTGAAAACACACCGCCGGGCGCCGCCACTGAGAATGCGGCCGGGACTGAGTAAGTTCTCCTGGTCTATGCTGGCTGAATTCCTGCTAAAATATGCCCACTGCGATTGTTTCAGATTCTTCCAGCACTCGCCGGGGAACGCGCGACGCATCTTCAAAATCGTCGACCGCATAGCCGCCTCAAATCTGTTCCAATATGCCACCGAGCTGCCGTACGTGCAGCGAGCCATGGAGAACATGAATGCCAACATCACACTGCGCGTAGATCTCAAGGGTATGGTGGCCCGTGGGACAATCAACATACCGCCCCCGCCCTCCGATCGGGTGTGGGTGTGCTTCCGGGGGCCACCACGCCTGTGGATATCCACCAAGCCCCAAGTGGGCGACAAGTCCGTCGACTGGTCCATTGTTACCAACGTCATTGAGAGCAAGCTGTGCGAGGCTGTCAACAAGTTTTTGGTCTACCCGAATATGGTGGACTTTACCATACCCTTCCTGGCCAAACCCAGCTACGAGGACGAGTCGCCAGCATCGCCCAACTGAATACCAAAAAGGAGATTATCATTTTTTATATCATCTGAATTTAACACAAAGTGTGTGCAGATTTTCCACATTATATCTTATTTCCGAGATTAACTTGAAGCTTAGCTTAGATCCGAGATCTCTCTGGCACCCACCACGTGTACTTAGCCGTTAAGAGCAGAAAGACGATGAGCAGCGAAGATTGATTCCAAATGACAAGTTAAAAAACGCTTAAACGCCTATTTCGATCACACTCCAGAACAATCTACATCCATATTATTCTAAGTAGCTTAGGTTTGTTTATCTGTACAACTAATCGTACTATAACTTACAATTATATCAGACAAGTCAAAGGCTTATGACTTGCATTTTAACAGCCGCTCTGTGACGTCAACAAGACAACTATTCCAATAGCATAATGCAGGCATATAATAACTTCCCAACTAACTTAACTACGTAAATAAATATATAAAAATATATTGTATTTCAATTAGATTGCTAAGAATGCGTGTGAATTTTATATAATAACCGATTTTATTTCCGGTGTGTGGTTTCATTTATCATCAATCATTATACATACATATGTACTTAAAGCGTTTTAACTAAAATAAGCATACATATTACTCGTAAGCAGGAAAGGAACGAATTCGTACTTCCGTTTGCCAAATGAGAAACAAAACTATTTGCAAAAGTTCCCTTGAAAACTGAAATATCATTTACAGACTTATGTGAAAAGAATTAAACAAAATAACTAACTTTAGTAAACACATGAATATATGTAAATACAACATATGTACTTATGTATGTACGTGTATACCTTTTAAATAAATAAACGAAAGGAAATGGCTTAAATTCAAAATTTTTGAACTATTTTTATTTTTGTATATTTTTGACTAGGGAAAATTCCTTGATTCTTGAAAAGAAAGCTTTTCCGTTGACAAGACGCCCAGATCGGCACACAAATTTTTGGTTAATTGTTGTACAACAAAAGCTGTTGCTGTTATTATTGTACAACAACCGCCCTGAATTTGGTGGCGCTCAAACCCGAGATTATGTATTTTCAGATCGGCTTATATCAGGCTAACAGAAATCCGCAGAAGGTCGCTGCTTTTTTTAATTTCTCTTTTTATTTCGTTGCTCTCTCTTATCGCTCTAATTTTTCTGATTTTCTGCCTCCACTTTCCATTGCTCAAATGGCAGAAAACGGTTAAATTCAAATCTGGGATACCAGGCGAACAGAAATCAGCAGAAGGTCGCGGCTTTTTTTAATTTTTCGTATTTTCTTGTTTCTCTTTGTATTTCGTTGCTCTCTCTTTTCGCTCTAATTTTTCTCATTTTCTGCCTCCACTTTCCACCGCTCAAATGACAGAAAACCGTTTAATTCAAATCATAGATACCAGGCGCACAGAAATCAGCAGAAGGTCGCTGTTTTTTTTTAATTTCTCTTTTTTCTTGTTTCTCTTTGTATTTCGTTGCTCTCTCTTTTCGCTCTAATTTTTCTCATTTTCTGCCTCCACTTTCCACCGCTCAAATGGCAGAAAACCGTTAAATTCAAATCTGAGATACCAGGCAAACAGAAATCAGCAGAAGGTCGCTGCTTTTTTAATTTTTTTTTTTCTTGTTTCTCTTTGTATTTCGTTTCTCTCTTTTTTTCGATCTACTTTTTCTCATTTTCTGCCTCCACTTTCCACTTTCAAATGGCAGAAAACGGTTAAATTCAAATCTGGGATACCAGGCGAACAGAAATAAGCAGAAGGTCGCTGCTTTTTTAATTTCTCTTTTTTTCTTGGTTCCTTTGTATTTCGTTGCTCTCTCTTTTCGCTCTAATTTTTCTCATTTTCTGCCTCCACTTTCCACCGCTCAAATGGCAGAAAACCGTTAAATTCAAATCTGAGATACCAGGCGAACAGAAATCAGCAGGAGGTAGCTTTTTTAATTTCTCTTTTTTTCTTGTTTCTCTTTGTATTTCGTTTCTCTCTTTTTCTCGATCTATTTTTTCTCAATTTCTGCCTCCACTTTCCACCGCTCAAATGGCAGAAAACGGTTAAATTCAAATCTGGGATACCAGGCGAACAGAAATCAGCAGAAGGTCGCTGCTCTTTTAATTTCTCTTTTTTTCTTGTTTCTCTTTGTATTTCGTTGCTCTCTCTTTTCGCTCTAATTTTTCTCATTTTCTGCCTCCACTTTCCACCGCTCAAATGGCAGAAAACCGTTAAATTCAAATCTGAGATACCAGGCGAACAGAAATCAGCAGAAGGTCGCTGCTTTTTTTAAATTCTCGTTTTTTCTTGTTTCTCTTTGCATTTCGTTGCTCTCTCTTTTCGCTCTTATTTTTTCTCATTTTCTGCCTCCACTTTCCACCGCTCAAATGGCGGAAAACCGTTAAATTCAAATCTGAGATACCAGGCGCACAGAAATCAGCAGAAGGTCGATGCTTTTTTTAAATTCTCTTTTTTTTCTTGTTTCTCTTTGTATTTCGTTGCTCTCTCTTTTCGCTTTACTTTTTCTCATTTTCTGCCTCCACTTTCCACCGCTCAAATGGCAGAAAACCGTTAAATTCAAATCTGAAATACCAGGTGAACAGAAATCAGCAGAAGGTCGCTGCTTGTTTTAAATTCTCGTTTTTTCTTGTTTCTCTTTGTGTTTCGTTTCTCTCGCTTTTTGCTCTAATTTTTCTCGTTTTCTTCCTCCACTTTCCACCGCTCAAATGGCGGAAAACCGTTAAATTCAAATCTGAGATACCAGGCGCACAGAAATCAGCAGAAGGTCGATGCTTTTTTTAAATTCTCGTTTTTTCTTGTTTCTCTTTGTATTTCGTTGCTCTCTCTTTTCGCTTTACTTTTTCTCATTTTCTGCCTCCACTTTCCACCGCTCAAATGCCAGAAAACCGTTAAATTCAAATCTGAAATACCAGGTGAACAGAAATCAGCAGAAGGTCGCTGCTTTTTTTAAATTCTCGTTTTTTCTTGTTTCTCTTTGTATTTCGTTGCTCTCTCTTTTCGCTCTAATTTTTCTCGTTTTCTGCCTCTACTTTCCACCTCTCAAATGGCAGAAACCCGTTAAATTCAAATCTGAGATACCAGGCGAACAGAAATCAGCAGAAGGTCGCTGCTTTTTTTAAATTCTCGTTTTTTCTTGTTTCTCTTTGTATTTCGTTGCCCTCTCTTTTCGCTATAATTTTTCTCATTTTCTGCCTCCACTTTCCACCGCTCAAATGCCAGAAAACCGTTAAATTCAAATCTGAGATACCAGGCGCACAGAAATCAGCAGAAGGTCGCTGCTTTTTTTAAAATTCTCTTTTTTTCTTGTTTCTCTTTGTATTTCGTTGCTCTCTCTTTTCGCTCTAATTTTTCTCGTTTTCTGCCTCTACTTTCCACCGCTCAAATGGCAGAAAACCGTTAAATTCAAATCTGAGATACCAGGCGAACAGAAATCAGCAGAAGGTCGCTGCTTTTTTTAAATTCTCTTTTTTCTTGTTTCTCTTTGTATATCGTTGCCTCTCTTTTCGCTATAATTTTTCTCGTTTTCTGCCTCCACTTTCCACCGCTCAAATGGCAGAAAACCGTTAAATTCAAATCGGAGATACCAGGCGAACAGAAATCAGCAGAAGGTCGCTGCTCTTTTAATTTCTCTTTTTTTCTTGTTTCTCTTTGTATTTCGTTGCTCTCTCTTTTCGCTCTAATTTTTCTCATTTTCTGCCTCCACTTTCCACCGCTCAAATGGCAGAAAACCGTTAAATTCAAATCTGAGATACCAGGCGAACAGAAATCAGCAGAAGGTCGCTGCTTTTTTTAAATTCTCGTTTTTTCTTGTTTCTCTTTGTATTTCGTTGCCCTCTCTTTTCGCTATAATTTTTCTCATTTTCTGCCTCCACTTTCCACCGCTCAAATGGCAGAAAACCGTTAAATTCAAATCAGAGATACCAGGCGCCCAGAAATCAGCAGAGGGTCGCGGCTTTTTTTAATTCTCGTTTTTTCTTGTTTCTCTTTGTATTTCGTTGCCCTCTCTTTTCGCTACAATTTTTCTCATTTTCTGCCTCCACTTTCCAACGCTCAAATGCCAGAAAACCGTTAAATTCAATTCTAAAATACCATTCAATTCTAAAATACCAGGCGCACAGAAATCAGCAGATGGTCTCTGCTTTTTTTAAATTCTCGTTTTTTCTTGCTTCTCTTCGTGTTTCGTTGCTCTCTCGTTTCGCTCTAATTTTTCTCATTTTCTGCCTCCACTTTTTACCGCTCAAATGGCAGAAAACCAATAAATTCAAATCTGAGATACCAGGCGCACAGAAATCAGCAGAAGGTCGCTGCTCCTTTTAAATTCTCTTTTTTTCTTGTTTCTATTTGTATTTCGTTGCCCGCTCTTTTCGCTATTTTTTTTCTCGTTTTCTGCCTCCACTTTCCACCGCTCAAATGGCAGAAAACAGTTAAATTCAAATTTGAGATACCAGGCGCACAGAAATCAGCAGAAGGTCACTCCTTTTTTTAAATTCTCTTTTTTTCTTGGTTCTCTTTGTATTTTGTTGCCCTCTCTTTTCGCTATATTTTTTCTTATTTTCTGCCTCCATTTTCCACCGCTCAAATGACAGAAAACCGTTAAATTCAAATCTGAGATACCAGGCGCACAGAAATCAGCAGAAGGTCGCTGCTTTTTTTTAATTCTCTTTTTTTCTTGTTTCTCTTTGCATTTCGTTGCTCTCTCTTTTCGCTCTAATTTTTCTCATTTTCTGCCTCCACTTTCCACCGCTCAAATGGCGGAAAACCGTTAAATTCAAATCTGAGATACCAGGCGCACAGAAATCAGAAGAAGGTCGATGCTTTTTTTAAATTCTCGTTTTTTTCTTGTTTCTCTTTGTATTTCGTTGCTCTCTCTTTTCGCTTTAATTTTTCTCATTTTCTGCCTCCACTTTCCACCGCTCAAATGGCAGAAAACCGTTAAATTCAAATCTGAAATACCAGGTGAACAGAAATCAGCAGAAGGTCGCTGCTTGTTTTAAATTCTCGTTTTTTCTTGTTTCTCTTTGTGTTTCGTTTCTCTCGCTTTTTGCTCTAATTTTTCTCGTTTTCTTCCTCCACTTTCCACCGCTCAAATGGCGGAAAACCGTTAAATTCAAATCTGAAATACCAGGTGAACAGAAATCAGCAGAAGGTCGCTGCTTTTTTTAAATTCTCGCTTTTTCTTGTTTCTCTTCGTGTTTCGTTGCTCTCTCTTTTCGCTCTAATTTTTCTCGTTTTCTGCCTCTACTTTCCACCGCTCAAATGGCAGAAAACCGTTAAATTCAAATCTGAGATACCAGGCGAACAGAAATCAGCAGAAGGTCGCTGCTTTTTTTAAATTCTCGTTTTTTCTTGTTTCTCTTTGTATTTCGTTGCCCTCTCTTTTCGCTATAATTTTTCTCATTTTCTGCCTCCACTTTCCACCGCTCAAATGCCAGAAAACCGTTAAATTCAAATCTGAGATACCAGGCGAACAGAAATCAGCAGAAGGTCGCTGCTCTTTTTTAAATTCTCTTTTTTCTTGTTTCTCTTTGTATTTCGTTGCTCTCTCTTTTCGCTCTAATTTTTCTCGTTTTCTGCATCCACTTTCCACCGCTCAAATGGCAGAAAACCGTTAAATTCAAATCGGAGATACCAGGCGCACAGAAATCAGCAGAAGGTCGCTGCTTTTTTTTAAATTCTCTTTTTTTCTTGTTTCTCTTTGTATTTCGTTGCTCTCTCTTTTCGCTCTAATTTTTCTCGTTTTCTGCCTCCACTTTCCACCGCTCAAATGGCAGAAAACCGTTAAATTCAAATCGGAGATACCAGGCGCACAGAAATCAGCAGAAGGTCGCTGCTTTTTTAATT